GTTTTCTTGACTACTTTCATAATGGTAATAAAAATCTCATCAAAGACAAAGAGCTTTCAGATTATGACTGTTGTAACAACCCGATACTGTTCTCACAAATTACAAAGGCTAAAGCGAAAAACGATTTCGTTTCAACTCTGTCACTCGTTAGATCATCCTATGATGTTATTTGGTTGCAAGCTATTTTATTCCGAAGAATTTATTTTTTCAGAATTAAATTTTCTACGGTCGAAGCCTATCAGCATTTGCTAATAATGGATCGCTTTCCAATAGTCTATTTAAAACTTACTCTAGCTTGATTTACAACTTTCAATAATCAGGGGTTAGTACACTATACTAAACAAATATTTAAGCACCTGCCTTTTAGCATTAGCGACTGCACGGTAAATCGAAGTGCTGTTTGCATCTGCCTGCTGGGCCAAAATATATGTACCGTAAACGCACTTGCCCCACACGTTGGGCGCCAAAAATCTATGTGAAGTAATTACGCCGTTGAAAGGGGAAAACATAAACAGGGTATCGTTGTTCTCGATCATACCTCCGAGTGTTAACCACATTCAGGCTTGTCGACCCTTAACCAGCAGCTGAGCGGAACCCATTGATTCCTAGCTCTAGCGGGAGATGTGGGGGGGGGTTTTTGCTGCGGATAAGGATTGTTACGTCAAAGGTTTTATTATAGAGTCTCCCTGAATCTACACAATGAGACGATCCTCATACGAAAGCAACACACAAAACAATTGTCTCATAATTAGTAAAATATGAAACAAGGCAAAACTAAACTGCGAGAAAAAAATTGAGAAACGAGAAAGCACGAATTAGGGTTTGAGCCTGCAGGGGTGGCCTTAGGTGTTGTTCGCCACACCCTATATCTTTACCCTCCCAACCATGGTCCTTCTGTAATCGTTAGCGAAAGACCCCAAAAGTATTTACGTATGCATCAATTTGTTAGTCTCCCATGCCATAAATAAGAAAACTTAACAATTCATCATCATTATAATAATTTTTAATAATCAAACAAAAATTCCTTTTCGATATTCTTCAGTGTACATCTCTCCAAATTCACAATAACAAACGAAGTCCTAATATAATTATTTTTCTTCATACATGTCTGCTAGATTTCAATGCCTAATTTATTTATTTAGTAATTATTAAACCCTATCATTACATAGCCTATTTTATTTACTTATGGTTAAGATAATTATTTATTTAATCATTTAATTTTTTTTTTTTTCAGTGTCATTATAATCCTATTTTGTTTAGTGTAAATCAATGATAATGGTAATGTGGTGCCTAATTATTGTAGCAGCAACAATAATGAACAACGACTGTTCTGCTTCGGATCACTCGCAAGACTGTCCTTTTATTTTTCTCTTCTCCTTTCCGTTCTCCAGTATATCACAGATTATATTAGTGTGTGTGTACATTCGCTTAGGGCTAAAAGTGTATGTATGTGTATAAATGCTTAGGGCTACCGTTAAAGAGTATGACCGTGTATGAATACTTAGGGCTACTATAAAAGTGTATGTACAAACTTATGCTTAGGGCTACTACATTATGATGCTAGAAAATATTCTGAAAATATAACTATACCCATTTAATTGTTTTTATTTTTTTTATTTTTTTTTTTTTTGTTTTGGGTCTACATAATTTTATTTCTTTATTATTATTCTATTTTTGTTTAGCTTCAACAACCTACATCGCACAATTACAATAAAACAGTTTCTTTTGCTGAAAAAAGAAAATATGTATATGAAAAATAACAAAATAATTAGGTTTTAATTTTCTCAGTGTAGCGCATGTTTTGGCTTTACATTTAAATGCTTTCAATTTACGATGATAACATGAATCAGAATAAAAAAGAGGAATTGAAAAAATAACAAAAATCAATCGATGCTGATAAGCATTAATGCCGGTAATCAGCCTTTACACTGGGCGACATAATTTGTTTTCTGTTTTCACTCACCCACTTTGTTGTTCTCGAAGAAGGCCTTCTTGTCGATGAGGTTTTGGTGTGTATTAGGGGAAAATTAAAAATTAAAAATATAGCCACATGATCTTAATTTGTTTGTTTGGTTTTTTTTTTTTTTTTTTTTGATTAATATTTAAAATATGTAGTAGTTATTTAAATTTTTTTTTTTTTTCAGTTACGTTTTTCATATATTATATTAATTCTATATATACATATTATTTATTTTATTTTCTGGTGTTTTATTTTTTTGTTTAGTTAAAAAATTTTTTATATTCTTACTGGCAACGAAACCTTTTATTGCACTGCACGATTTTAGTTGGATTTGCTAAGCTCACGCTCTTGTTTTTTTTTCTATCATATTGACTGCTCATATGCATCACCATCACTACCACTGTCATTGTTTTTTTTAACACCTTTTACATGCCTATTTTAAATTTTTATTTCTTATCGGATTTTTTTCTGCTCAATCGACCTAGCGATTTCTCGCCGTGTAGTCGAAGAAAATAAGCGTGACCTACACGTGCAAAGAAAATATTATTATATGTCGATCGGCTTGGACATTTTTTTATAAAAAATATTTACCTTGCCGACACGGCAGCCTTTGGCAGCCGGTAGATTGGCGTTTGTTGATGGCCTTTTTCAACCGATGCCGAAGTATCAGTGGGATTAGGGTACGGAGCACATGTGCATATGCTCGCTCGTATATTTTCCCTGCTGGGTTCGGGACCAACTTCTCAGCTTGACGACTCCAATAGAAAAGATCGAAGCCAGAAGCTGGAGACCCGAAGAACCCTTCACCGATTTGCACTTCGGTACTCACCAGCTGGTGGTTTCAACTGTCATTTTTAAGACGTTGCCAGATAAGGGGTCGATACTAATTATCGCTACTATTCTTAGGCGCGTATCATTTTAATTTAAAAAAATATAAAAAGTTTTTATATGGGTCCATTACATTATACATTTGCACACTCAATTGTAAATTGTAAATTAAAAGTTCATAACTCAGCTAATAATGTCTGTATCCACTTCAGAATGTGTATTTATAATAGTTTTTACACGGCTAATACATTTGCAATTACAATTGAGTGTAATTTTGAAAACAAAAAGTTTACAACTCAGCTAATAATGCATGTATCCACGGCAGAATTTGTACTTATATTAGTTTTTAGAAGGCTAATACATTTGCATACTGTAATGGACCCATATAAAAATTTGTTAGTATTTTTTTTTAAATTAAAATTATCCGCGCCTAAAAATAGTAGCGATAATTAGTATCGACCTCTTATCTGGCAACGTCTTAAAAATGACAGTTGAAACCACCAGCTGGTGAATACCGAAGTGCAAATCGGTGAAGGGTTCTTCGGGTCTCCAGCTTCTTTTTTTTTTTTTTTTTTTTTTTAGACTTTGCTTTTATTTATTGAATCTTCTCATTTATGAGACTAACAATAAGTGTATCAAATCTTACAATATTACCTAACTAGCAGTCATGAGACTGGTACAGAGTAAATGGCCCTGAATAATTATGGCTGGGTTGGATGGTCGTTACGTAGTAGGCGGCTTCTTCTGGAAACTTTTATCAAGTCCCTTGCTAAAGGATTTGGATGGGTGGAGAGTTTTTCCTTGTAGGACGCTTTTTGATTTTCTATTTCGTTCTTAACTGCAGGAATGCCGAGATCCCTGTGGATGTTTTCGTTGCGAATATACCATGGTGCCCCAGTGATAGTTCTCAGGTTTTTTGATTGGGCGCGCTGTATGATGTCTAGATTGGTACTGCACGCGTTCCCCCAGAGCTGGGAGCCATACGTCCATATTGGCTTTAGTGTGGAGTTGTAGAGCAGGACCTTGTAGTCCAGACACAGGGGCGATCGGGAGTTTATGAGCCAGTGGAGGCTGTTGGCTTTTAGTTTTAGATGAAGTTTCTTGCATTCAATATGTCTTCGCCATGTTAGGCGTCTGTCCAGGTGGACGCCCAGGTACGTTACCACGTTGACTTCGGGGATCAGTGTGCTGTTCAGGTAGAGCGGGGGGCATGTTTGTCTGTTGAGGGTGAACGTTATGTGCTTACACTTTTGTTCATTTATTTTAATACGCCAATCAGATAGCCACTTCTCGACTACCTTGAGGTGGTTGGCGAGCTGGGCTGTTGCACGGACTGGGCATCTGGAACGGCTGAGGATCGCAGTGTCATCAGCGAAAGTGGATAATGTTAGCTGGTCGCTTGTGGGGATATCCGCTGTGTATAAAACAAATAGGGTAGGCCCAAGTGCACTTCCTTGTGGGACTCCAGCTTCGATTGAATAGGTGCCGGATGTTGTTGCGTTGCACCTCACTGCGAAGACTCTGTTGTAGAGATACGACTCAAGTAATTTGTGTGTGTATACCGGCAAGAGTGTTTTTATTTTGTGCATGAGGCCGTTGAGCCAGACTCGGTCGAATGCTTGAGAAACGTCGAGAAATATCGCGCTGCAATATTCTCGATGCTCGAAGGCTGTGCGAATTTCTGATGTTATTCTGTTAACTTGCTCGATAGTTCCATGTTTTTCTCTGAAGCCAAATTGATGAGCTGGGATAATGTTGTGAGCTCCCAGATAAGGGATTATGCGCTTTAGTAGGCATTTTTCAAATAATTTGGACAAGCATGATAGTAGACTTATTGGTCGGTAAGATGACGGAATCGTGTGGTCTTTTCCGGGCTTCGGTATCATTATAATTATAGATTTTTTCCATTTTGTTGGGTAATGGCCGAGACTTATGATCCCATTGAAGATTTTACAGATGACCTCAATAGCACAATTCGGAAGTTCAATTATCATTTTTTGAGTTATTAGGTCAACGCCGGGAGCCTTTTTCGGCTTCAGTTCCCTGATGACCTTCGTTATCTCGTTCGGACGAAATGATGAGATGTGAGGCAAAAGTTTCGGCTCTGTCTTTGTCGCTGCGGGCCCAGCAACCAGATGACATTCTTATCGGGGTGATGGTTTCAGCCGGTGAGCTTAAATTTGGGTGAGCTCTCCATAAGGGATGCTTTGTGCTTTGTGCCAGCTTCTGGCTTCGATCTTTTCTATTGGAGTCGTCAAGCTGAGAAGTTGGTCCCGAACCCAGCAGGGAAAATATACAAGTGAGCATATACACATGTGCTCCGGACCCTAATCCCACTGCTATTTCGGCATCGGTTGAAAAAGGCCATCAACAAACGCCAATCTACCGGCTGCCAAAGATTGCCGTGTCGGCAAGGTAAATATTTTTTTAAAAAAAAATGTCCAAGCCGATCGACATATAATAATATTTTCTTTGCACGTGTAGGTCACGCTTATTTTCTTCGACTACACGGCGAGAAATCGCTAGGTCGATTGAGCAGAAAAAAATACAAGAAAAGGAAGCACTGGGTAAATATTTCTAAAAATATTCCTGGGCTCGTTTGCACAACATTAATTATTTTAATTCCTGTAGATAAACGAGGCAGCAGAGCAGATTGGTTACGCTATTCAGCGCCGGCCAAAAACAGGCGGCTGGAACAGCTATCTCTGCTGGGGAAAATTTATTTGGAGTTCGCAGCAGCTTGGAGCAGAGAAAAACCCACAAAAAGTGACCCAAAAATAAACGTGTGAAACACAGTGCAGATTTAAAAAAATTAAAAATTGAAAACCCTTAAAATCTAGTGACAAATTAAAAGTTAACGAAGACGAGGAAATGGGTTAAAACAACTCATTAAATACACGACTAGTAAAAATGTAAAATCTTAAGAAAAAACCCGACCTCAAAACAGAAAAAAAAACATGCAGAATAGTGTAAATACATATATATAAATCTTTTTTTTATTAAATACCAATAGAGTTAAACCCTCTCGAAACATCATCATTATTGCCAAATTATGAAATGAATTATTATTGAAGTGCCCCAAATCGGATAAGAAATAAAATTTAAAATAGGCATGTAAAAGGTGTTAAAATAAAAACCATGACAGTGATGGTGATGGTGATGCATATGAGCAGGCAATATGCTAGGAAAAAAAACAAGAGCGTGAGCTTAGCAAATCCAACTAAAATCGTACAGTGCAATAAAAAGTTTCGTTGCCAGTAAGAATACAAAAAACAAATTAAAACGTAACTAAACACAGTAAAATAAAATAAATAATATGTAGCTGTATAATTAATATCAAATATGAAAACGTAACTAAAAAATCATGCGGCTATATTTTTAAATTTTAATTTTCCCCTAATACACTCCAAAACAGCATCGACAAGAAGGCCTTCTTCGAGAACAACAAAGTGGGTGAGTGAAAACAGACAACAACTTATGTCGCCCAGTGTAAAGGCTGATTACCGGCATTAATGCTTATCAGCATCGATTGATTTTTGTTATTTTTCCAATTCCTCTTTTTATACCCTTGCAGGGTATTATAATTTCAGTCAGAAGTTTGCAACGCAGTGAAGGAGACGTTTCCGACCCTATAAAGTATATATATTCTTGATCAGCATCAACAGCCGAGTCGATCTAGCCATGTCCGTCTGTCCGTCTGTCCGTCTGTCCATCTGTCCGTCTGTCCGTCTGTCCGTCTGTCCGTCTGTCTGTTTCTACGCAAACTAGTCCCTCAGTTTTAAAGCTATCTGAATGAAACTTTGCATATAGTCTTTTATATACTCTCACTGCTATATATGTCGGAACGGGCCGGATCGGACGACTATATCATATAGCTCCCATACAAATGTTCGATAAATTTTTAGAAAAAAAATTATAACTTGGCTGTTTTTCAATATTTTTGCATCATTTTTGAGATATAGCCATTTTATATTGTTACAAAGCTTTGGTAAAAATTTTATGAAAATCGGACGACTATATCTTATAGCTGCCATAGGAACGATCGGAAAAAGAATAGGAAAAAAATTATAACTTTGTTGTTTTTCAACATATTCTTATCTACTTTTAGATATAAGCTTCTTTTTATTATTTCAGAATTTTGGTAAAATTTTTATGAAAATCGGACAACTATATCATATAGCTGTCATATAAACGATCTGTAAATGTGGAGAAAAGGTAAAGCTGGGAATGTAAAACCTTAACTGTCAAACTGTAAACATAATAAGTAAAAGTAAAATGTAATGAAACTCTGTTTTGTGAGTGTTTTCAGCATTTAAATTTATAATATAAACATCAAAACCAATCTGCAAGGGTATACAAACTTCGGTGTGCCGAAGTTAGCTTCCCTTCTTGTTTATTCTGATTCATGTTATCCTCGTAAATTTAAAGCATTTAAATGTAAAGCCAAAACATGCGCTACACTGAGAAAATTAAAAACTAATTATTTTGTTATTTTGCATATACATATTTTCTTTTTTCAGCAATAGAAACTGTTTTATTGTAATTGTGCGATGTATGTTGTTGAAGCTAAAGCTAAGTACTCTGACGACGAAAATTTGCTGTGACACGTGTTACAGCACAATCGTTATTTATTTTGCTACCGAGCTAGTGTGACCAAAAAAATTAAGGAAAAGCCTGAAACTCCATGAAAAGGGTAATACTGAACCGCTGTCGTTTGTAAAACAAAAAACAAATAAGCAAAGATGAATTGATGTTTATGTATTTCGCCGCTAAGGAGCTTAAGAAAAAGAAAACTGGTCGTCGCGCCAGGTCTTTCATTATATCGCCCCAGTAGGTGACCAATGAACGAATGGTTGTGGTCTGCGATGCTAGGGTCTTCTGCAAGTCGACGTACTCCGTAAATTTCTGAGTTAGAACACAGCTCTCAGCCGCCGCAGTCTTGCGCTTCTTAGTTGCTGGCTTCTATTAAAAATAGTTATTTACAATTAATTATTATAATTTAAAATTAGCCCGATTCCCTACTAACATAGGAATAAGTGCTGGAATTCTCCTTCTCCATGTCCTCTATTCCCTTCTGCAGCTGTAGCTCTTGCTCCTTCAAAAATAGGACTTTTAATTCTCGGTCAGGTTTTGGTTTATGCCCTCAGGCCAAAAAAATGTTGATTTAAAAACACGCCAGAATTTCACGACAGCGGGAACCTTCGATCGTCTCCCGAAGATGCACCCCTTCGGGTGAAAGACGAGAGATTGACCCGGTTAATTTCTCTTAACAATTTCACTGTACCGTACCAAAGCCCTTATCTGCAATTTCCCTCTGACACCTAGGTGGCGCCACCGAACCTCGCAACCAAGCGTTACATGTTTGGGGTGTAAAAATAAATCAAATGAATTATTGTTACACCCCGAGATTACTATTTCGATCTGGCAACGCCATTCAATTTGACAGGCATCATTTTCGTCGTTAGAGTACCGGCAAAATCTAGGAGGCACAAATTTCTTCTTCTTCTTTTTTTCACACAGTTTTTTTTATATGGACTTTTGACGCTGTAACACATGTTACATCGGATTTTCGTCGTCAGAGTACTTAGCTTAAACAAAAAAATAGAATAACAATAAAGAAAATTATGTAGGCCCAAAACGAAACAAAAACAAAAAAAAAATAAATAAATAAAAACAATTAAATGGACATAGTTATATTTTCATAATATTTTATAGCATCATAATTAAGTAAGGCACCACCTTACCATTATCATTGTTTTAAACGAAACAAAATAGAATTAAAAATGACACTGAAAAAAATTTAAATGATTAAATAAATAATTATATTAACATAAGTCAATAAAATAGGCTATGTAAGGATAGGGTTTAGAAATTAATAAATAAATTAATTAAGCATTGAAATCTAGTAGACATGAGTGAAGAAAAATAATTATATTAGGACTTCGTTTATTATTGTTAATTGGAGATATGTACACTGAAAAATATGGAAAAGGAATTTTTGTTTGATTATTAAAAATTATTATAATGATGATGAATTTTTAAGTTTTCTTACTTATGGCATGGGAGACTAACAAACTGATGTATACGTAAATACTTTTGGGGTCTTTCGCTAACGATTACAAGAAGGACCATGGTTGGGAGGGTAAAGATATAGGGTGTGGCGAACAACAGCTAAGGCCACCCCTGCAGGCTCAAATATTAATTCGTGCTTTCTCGTTTCTCAATTTTTTTCTCGCAGTTTAGTTTTGCCTTGTTTCATATATTACTAATTATGAGACAATTGTTTTGTGTGTTGGTTTCGAATGAGGATCGTCTCATTGTGTAGATTCAGGAGGGACTCTATAATAAAAACCTTTGACGTAACAATCCTTATCAGCAGCAAAAACCCCCCCACATCTCCCGCTAGAGCTAGGAATCAATGGGTCCCGCTCAGCTGCTGGTTAAGGGTCGACTAGCCTGAATGTGGTTAACACTCGGAGGTATGATCGAGAACAACGATACCCTGTTTGTGTTTTCCCCTTTCAACGGCGAAATTACGTCACATAGATTTTTGGCGCCCAACGTGTGGGGCAAGTGCGTTTACGGTACATACAGAGGCGAGCACAAATGAGTGTATGTTCACGGTTCTGACTTTGGCCATCAATAAAAACCAAACCACACAAGCAAATCCAACAATTTTTTTTGTATAATGTTTCTTAATTAATTTTTTGTTATTTTAAGATAGAAACAGCAACATATCAAATAAATTCAAATTCTTAGAATAAAAAAACGAAATTAACTCACATAAACTCAATTTTGCACGTTTTACCTACTTGTACCTTTTTTCGCTTTCCATATCTTTTATAAACTAAATTTTATGTTTTTTGTAAAAGATCTAACTCTATAATTGTTCAGTTCTATTTTTGGTGGTCGTAGATCAGTTTAAAACGTGTTTTTGAAGACCGAAGCTGTATTTGGAAAAATTTTATACAAATAAATTCATAAAAGCCCAAAAGTATTTACATTTTTTGGAGAAATTTAAAATAATGTTGTGAATCTGACAAAAAGTACCGTTATACTTGTAAAATTGACAAAAGGACTTGGTATTTTCCAATTTCCGTACAGAAAAGTCAAAAGCTGACCCTCTAGCCTCAAGTCGTTGGCCGGAAAAAATTATTAAAGGACTCATGTGCTCGTCTAATATAGTCTAAAATGCAAATAAACAAGCTTTTAATGCCAAAGGGTGCTTGTCTGACTATAAACAAAAATGTGTGTACATGTAAATTTCCAATATTCCACCATGCAAACCATTATATTTCCTTTATATGGCTTTACATGGTTTCTTTGAGTTCGATCGCCTGGTCGAATCAAACAATACTGTTTTTCATTACTGTGAAAACGGTTAAACATTAACTCATCAGACTAGTCAACTTGTTTTCAATCGTCAATGATCCATTTTAGGTGATTTTTAGTTAATTTTAAATGATCTTTGGCATTCTTATTGGAAAACGCATGCTTATTATTTTTTACGCTCGATATGTATCCGATGTCCTGCAATGCTCTTCTAGCAGTTCATTTGCTGACATTTTTGTTTATGGTCAGACAAGCACCCTTTGGTATTAAAAGCTTGTTATTTAGCATTTGGGACAATATTAGACGAGCACCTGAGTACTTTAACAATTATTTCCGGCCAACGACTTGAGGCTTGGGGGTCAGTTTTCGACTTTTTTGAATGGAAATTGGAAAATACCAAGTGCTTTGGCGATTTTATGAGTAGAACTGCCACTTTTTGTCAGGTTTACAACATTATTTTCAATTTATCACGAAAATTTTGAAATTTTTTAGCTTTTATCAATATATTTTTATCATTTTTTTTACCAAAAACAGCTTCGTTCTTCAAAAACACGTTTTAAACTTATCTACAACCACCAAAAATAGAATTGAACAATTATAGAGTTAGATCTTTTACAAAAAACATAAAATTT